GCAATGGCCGGAAATAAAAAGGCGCCTGCAAATTGCGCAGCACTGCCAGCGAATACCACGTGGGTTGGCTGCGAGTGCCCCGGAGTGTGCAGAGAGGTGGGGTCTCAGATCCTTGACCAGACACGTGGGAGTCTGAGCACAAAGCTGGCCACTCGGCAGGACCCCGGACGCTTCCCGGGTCTCTCTGGCCCCGGGCCTCTGCACACACGGCGCCTCCTCGCCCTCCTCGCCCCGCTGCCCCAAACCCGCCGCTCTCCAGCAGTGTCTGGTTGCTCGTTCTTCAGTTCTCACTGAGGAGCCACGCCCGGCAGGTCTACCCTGCTGCCTGGCCGCTGGCCCCTTCCCAAGCGCCTCCTTGGTGCCGCCACGGCCTCATGTCCACCCCCCGCCATCTCCCGTGGCAGAGTACATCGGCGTCCACCTCTCCAGGCTGTAGGCCTGTCAGGGCAGCAGCTGTCCTGCCGCTGGTGACGGAGGGCAGGTGGATGGCTGGACACCTGGATGCGTGGGGGGATGGTGACGGGGGCTGGATGGATGCTGGATGGGCGGGCGACGGGCGGGTGGGTGTCGGGTGCACGTACGGCTAGGTGAGCCAGCGAGTGGGCGGCTGGGTAGGTGTGTCCATGGGTGGGTGCCCATGGCTAGGAGGGTGGAGGGCTGGATAAACAGGTGGGTGACTGAGAGGATGGGTGAATGGAGGCATGGCCGGGCGAGCTGTGTGTGGGAAGGTGATGACCATTTCGGCGAGCAGACGGGCCGCTCCCTCGCAAGGTGGGGAGAGCAAAGCCAGGTGCGGGCTCCCAAGTCACCTGCCTCCCAGACCCCTCAAGCACGGTAGAGCGCCCCTTCAGGAGGATGGGCAGGCCCACTCGGACTTGGCACTGGGCACCTTACCCCGTCCCGTCTCTTGGCAGACCCTGCATTTGCGATCCTGCTGGCAGCCTGGGCACCTGTGACCCCCGCAGCGGGCGCTGCCCCTGCAAAGAGAATGTGGAAGGCAGCCTGTGTGACCGGTGAGTGCCTGGGGCTCAAGTGTCTGGCACGGGCACCTGCCGCAGATTATATGTGGACTCCGCTCTCACTGTCCTCGTTGGCTCTGTGCTGGTGTGGAGAGAAGCTGAGGTCAGAGCTGCGTGGCCAGCCGCGGCCTTGACTCTCCCCCGGCTGGCCCCAGGCTGCTGCCTCCCCCTTCCACGCGTGACCTGTGGGCTGCGGGGTCTTCCCCCAAGACCTCTCAAGTGAGGGGGTGGGCGGGTAGGAAGTTGGCACGGAATTGGGGAACCAGAATCCACCTGTGTCCTTCGGCTTTGCCCCGGAAACCCCACTGCCCATCCGTGAGATGGGGTCAGTGAGTTGTGCTCATGGAGTTGGTGGGGGGGTCACCCTAGGAACTGGATTCCTCCCCCCAGGCCAAACCCAACAGATTGCCCCCCACCCCAGGGTGCAAACTGGGGCTGTGCTTGTCAGACGTCTCTCCAGGCCTCCTTGGAGATGACCGGTTCCGGGGCAGGGGCAGGACAGCGCAACTTGAGCCGGCTCGTCCTGCCGGCTCGTCCTGCCAGAATGCTCAGAAGTTCTTAAAAACAAAAACAGACCAAAATAAACCTCCAAACCCCACCCCAGGATGGGGGGCCCTTGTCAGAGGACACCAGAGCCGATCTGCAAGAACTCCCCAGACCGGAACAAATTGAGTAGCAAAATAAATCATGAGGGTATTAGATTATAACCCAAGGAACAAAGTAAACACCCACAGGTCCCCTCCGGCATAAACAGATGAGTGAACAAACAAACACACAAAGGCGGCGGACAGACCTTCCTCTCAGGGCTGATAGCTGCAGTGTGAGGGAAAGCCACGGGCGGTGAAACTCAGTGCAGGCACTCTGAGTCTGAGCTGGACAGCCGGCTCCTGCCAGTTTGAACCAGTATGAGCCATGTTTAGCTGGCTGGATCCCCTTTCGGAGTTTTGAGCCTGTTACAACCAATTCACGTGGCTTGGTTTCATTTCAGCTCTTCGAAGAAGTCAGAGCCGGATTCAGTGAGTTTCAGTGTCGCTTGGTTTGTCAGCAGTTTCACAGTTTTGAGCCAGTAGGAGGCAGGGTCAGTTGGTTTCACTGTCAGTTGGTTTCCATTTCCCTTCTGGGGGGAGTCAGAATCGGTTTGGAGCAGTCAGAACCAGTTTGAGTCCGTTCAAACTGGCTGGAACTGGTTTGAGCCATTTGGGACTGGTTCCAGCCCGACTGAGCCAGTCTGAGCTGGCCAGTTTGATCCAGTTAGATCCACTTAGAACCAGTCAGTTGCAGTCTGAATCAGTCAAGGCAGGCTTGAACTGGTCCAACACATCTGAGCCAGTGAGAACCAGTTGGATCTGGTTTCAGCCAGTCTGAACCAGTTTGAGACTGGCTTGAACCTGTCCGAGCTGGTTAGAACTGGTCCATTTCTGCTGGTCAGAATTGGTTTCAGCCTGTCTGAATGAGTTTGTGCTGGTGAGAACTGGTTGGGTCCGGTTTCAGCCAGTCTGAACAGGTCAAAACTGGCTTGAACCCGTCCAAGATGATCAAAACAGCCCAAACCAATTTCTGCTGGTCATAACTGGTTTCTCCTGCCTGGAACCAGTCAGAACCGGTTTTAGCCAGTTTGAACCAGTATGAGCTATGGTTAGCTGGCTGGATCCCCTTTCAGAGTTTTGAGCCTGTTACAGCCAGCGTCACTTAGTTTGGTTTTGGTTTCAGTTCTCTGAAGAAGTCAGAGCCGGATTCAGTCAGTCTCAGCTTTACTTGGTTTACACTCAGGCAGGGTCAGTTGGTTTCACTTTATGTTGGCTTCAGTTTCATTTTGGTTTCAGTTTCACTTCTGGGAGGATGTCAGAACTGGTTTGGAGTGGTCTACATTGGTGTTAGCCTGTTGTGACTGGTTTAAGCCAGTTTGAACCGGTCAGAACTGGGTTCAGCCGGTCTGAACCAGTTTGATCTGGTTAGATCAGGTAGGCTCCCATCTCAGCCAGTCTGAACTTCTCAAGACTAGCTTGAGCTGGTCTGAGCCAGTCAGAACCGGTTGGAACTACCCCAAACAGGTTTCCACTGGTTGGAGCCGGTTTCAGCCACCTGGAACCAGTTTCAGCTGGTATAAACCAGTTTCAGCCATTGTGAACCAGTTTGAGCCTGTGAGAACCGATTGGGTCCAGTCTCGGCCAGTCTGAACCAGTCAAGATTGGCTTGAACCAGTCTGACCCTGTTGGAACCAGTCCAAACCAGTTTCCACTAGACAGAACTGGTTTGCACTGCCTGGAACCTGCAGGTCGGAGCCAGTTTTAGACAGTCAAAGCCAGTTTGTGCCAGTTTGAGCCTGAGGTGCTGGTTTTAGCCAGTTTGAACCAGTATGAGCTGTTTTTAGCTTGTTGGATCCCCTTTCAGAGTTCTGAGCCTGGTTTGGTTTGGGGTTCAGGTCTTTGAAGGAGTCAGAACTGGATTCAGTGAGTGGCCATTGGATCGAATGCATCAGAATTGTTTGGAATCAGTTTCATCCTTTTGTTTCCAAGCCGGTCAGTTCCCATGTCTCCTGGTTTGAACCTGCCAGCACTGTTTGTCAGCAGTTTCATGTGTTTGCACCAGTCGGGGGCACTTTCAGCTGGCTTCCCTTTCAGTGGTTACAGTTTCACTTCTGTGGGGAACTGACTTGAGCCCTTTGGGACTGGTTTCAGCCAGTTGCAACAGGTTGACCAGTTTTGGCCGCTCAGAACCTGTTTGATCCATTAGAACCAAGTGGTTCCTGTCTCGGCCAGTCTGAACCTGTCAATACTGCCTTGAACCCGTGAGAGCCATTTGGAACCTGCTGGAACTAGCCCAAACCGGTTTCTGCTGGTCAGAAGCAGTGTGAGTTGCCTGGGACCTGTTTGGGTCAGTCTGAACCAGTTTGATCTGGTTAGAACAGGTTGGATCCTGTTTTGGCCAGTCTGAACCAGTCGAGATTGGCTTGAACCAATCTGAACCGGTCCAAACCAGTTTCCGCTGGTCACTGACACCTGTGGCGGAACTTTAAGGACTGCGAGGCTGTCGGCACCCCAAGCATCGCCCGTAGAGTGCTTAGCAATGGCTGTGTTGGTAAGCAAAATGTAGCTTAGTTCCCCTGAACTTACGGTGGGCAGGAGCTTGCGACCCCTTCTGGAGAGACACCTGGCAGGTCACCTAGCGGTGAAGGTCGACATTATCTGGGTGTCACATAGGTCTGAGTCTCCCAACAAGCTGCCCAGTGGGGCCCTGATTCTCCCCGAAACCCACAGCCCCAGTTTCATGGTGAGAAAATGTCACCCCAACCCAACCAAGAGCATCCTACAACACGCCTGAGTGCTCCCTTCAGAGGGGCAGCATCGTGAGAGGCGAGGGGAGCCGAGCACCTGGCGAGGGGGCCGAGGGCAGGGCCGACGGCAGCGCTGTCCAGGCAGGACCCGGCGCGGGACACAGACAGGAGTGGGGGGTCCTAGTGAAGCTGGGGCTCGTGAACAGCACTCCCGAGGGCCCATTTGTTGGTCTTGGCCGACATGCCTGGTTGTGTGTGTGGGGGGGGGAGAGGGGTAGGCAGCCGGGAACTGTCTGCAACTCTTGCCAATCTGAAAAATAAGGCTGAAGTTCCCCAGTGACACGGGACCCGCCCCTGTGTGACGCCCTCGCTTCCTTCCAGGTGTCGCCCCGGCACCTTCAACCTGCAGCCGCTCAACCCGGCCGGCTGCAGCAGCTGCTTCTGCCACGGCCACTCCAAGGTGTGCGAGGCCGCCGCCCACTTCCGGGTGCGCCACATCCTCTCCAACTTCCGCCAGGGTGAGACGTGCCCCCGGCCCAGGCAGGGCAAGCGCTCTGCTCTGGGGGTCCTGCAGGGCTGGGGTGGGGGTTGAGAGTGCAGTGTGGCCCCCCATGCCCATCACCAGTCTCCAGCACCGACACCCCGCCCCAGGCCCGACCTTTGTCCTCAGCCCCAGCAGCAGTGACACTTGTGGGCAGGCTGCCGTAGCTCAGCGATGAGGATGCAGGCGAAATCCCCTGGCCCCCACACGCTGAGCACCTGCTGTATGCCAGGCAGCTGTGCTCTTTTCAGGCGTGGGACCGCACCTGTCTCTGGCAGGTAGGCGCTCTCAGTCCTCTTCCCAGAGGGGGCAACGCTTCCGTGGGTCACATGACTTCATTGTTGGTACCAGGTTTGGCAGCTCCTCAGTTTTGCCCTTGGCCCTCTGCAAGCCTCCCGCTGAGCCCAGGGCCCAGGGCCACCTTGGTGCCCTGCGTCCCTAACCCAGTTGGCACAAGCGCCCCTTTGGGGCAGGGACGCCGCGGGGCCGTGAACTCCGCCTTGAACCTCGGCCTCACCAGGCCAGGTCTGGGCTGGGCCACCCCTGAGATGTGCTGGCCGCTGGCTGGCTGGCTGGCTGGGCTGGGGCGCCCAGGTGCGGCCACAGCGCGCCCTCTGCCGGACGCAGCGTGGACTGCAGGGCCGAGAAGGGCCTGGGCTGGGGGCTCAGTGGGGCTTCAGTGTCCTGGGGCACGTTGAGGTCCTGGTCTGGCCTCTCGCTTTGTCGGCAAGCACCCTGGCCAGCAGTTCTCCAGCTTTTTGGTGTCTGGACATTACTGAGGACCCCGAGAGTGCTTCTCTGTCCTCTGGATGGGTCTTCCCTGTTAGAAGTCGAACCCGGGTAACTTAAGGTGACTTTCTCTGAATCCATTCAGATATATAGCTGTAGTCAGCCCGTTACGTTGTGTGACAGTGACTTTTAAAAGACAAGTAAACGCGTGAGAAGAGGGCTCTTGGTGTGTCTGCACCCCTTAGTGCCCGGCCTCGAGGCCAGTTGGCCGCGTGCTCTGGCTCGCCGTAGTCTGTGCGGATTTACATCTGTGGGCTCGGAAAGCCCCACTTCGCACTGGTGAGAGACAGGCTGAAAATGCTAGTGGTGTTACCTACCCCTGCCTCTCGGGGGCCTCGGGGGGCCTGGACTAAGCCAGAGATCCACCACTGGGCCCCGTTTCGCAGAGGGACAGCAGCTTCAGAGGGGTTAGGCGCCCGCTCTGGTCACACGGCCGTTCTGGAACTGAGGCCCCGGCCTCGCCTTTCTGAGCCTCCCCCCTCTCCCCAAACCACCCCCCTACCCTCGGTCACCCTGGTGTTGGGCCTCCCCCATCACCCAGCTGCCCCTGGGGTCACTTGCTCTGTGCCGGGCTGAGCCGGGAGGGCCGCTGATACCAGAGCACGGGCGGCCGAGCTGGAGCGCGCCCCTGGCCAGGTCACTTCCTACCCAGGTGACCCTGTGACGTGTGTGCCGCAGGGAGAGGTGATGAGGCCAGGAAGCCCCAAGCCCTGAGCTTCCTGGCGTCACCCCCCACCCCAAGGCCACCGTCCTGGCTCTGGGGTCGGAGCCCCTGGCTGTGGCCGGAGTACCTCCCGCCATCAGCCCGCCCTGTCTCTGCACCCCAATGTTCAGGCCTCTGGGGGCCTTGGGACTCGGGGCCAGGTGTAAGCAGGGCTGGGGGCAGGGCCGCCAGAGCCTCACGGGCCGTGTTCCCTGTCCAGGAGCCGAGGGCTGGCGGGCCAGCAGCGTGGGCCCCGAGCACCCAGCACGCTGGAGCCCGGGGGGGCTCCTCCTGAGCCCAGAAGAGGAGCTCACGGCACCAGGTACTGACCCGCCGGCTGGTCCCTTCTGCCGCTGTAACGGAGGGCAGGTTTCCCTCGCTATCCAAAAGCAGAACAGGCTCGTTTGAAATGATTCGGTAGGTCATAGTTTGGCTCTGAAATGTTCTCCTTAAATGTTTTGGCTCCCAAAAGTTCTCCTTATAAATCCGTGGAAATGGGGTTCTCGGGCACAAGCTCTCAGCTACCGAGTCATACCACCCAGGCGTGTGCCCCTTCCCGGCAGGGCCTGGGCCTCCAACGTGCTGGCTCCCGGCACAGGTGTGTCCTGCCGGCCCCAGAGCCGCGCTGTACAGCGGCTCTCGCTGAGCTAAGTCACCCTGTGCTGCTCCGGGGGCTGTGGGGAGCATCTCCCCGTGCCGGCCGAGAAGCTTCAGTGCCCCTTGGCTCGCAGCCCCCTTTTCAAGCCAGCTGTCTCGTGTTCCACATTCTGACACCACTCCGCCTTTTCTCTAAGGCCCCTCAGGACCCCTTAGGGCGCACGTGGGCCCAGGTGGGCCGTCCGCCTGACTCTGGCCACTTTAAGGTCAGCTGATGAGCAGCCTTTATTCCATCTGCAGCCTTCGTTGGCCCCCCCCTGCAACATGTCATAGTCTCCGTTCCAGGGGTTAGGACACACGGCCCACCTGCCCCCAGCACCTGCGGGAGCACCCCCTGTCATGGTGGCCCCAGGGCGGCCGCAGGCAGCTGTCACCCCCAGACCAGCGGCGCGTTTCCCATCAGCCCGCACCTCGCCGGCCAGGCGCCTGAGCCCAGGGCCGCCCGTCCCTGCTTGTTCTGAATCTCACGCTCGGCCCCCGCGACCCCCACGGGAGCGGCTGTGGCTTCCCGGAATCCTCAGACCCCAGCCAGGAGCTGGAGCCCATTCTCAGCTCCACTGCGGCCAGAGCTGGGGCCCGCAGCTCCGCGAGGCGCGGGCAGGCCCTCTGGCGGGCAGAGGGGAGGGCGGCGCCCTCTGTGCCTTTTGCGGGCTGTGGTTGATCTTTCGGCACCACTTGTAGTGAGGCGTGGGGCGCCGGTGCAGGCCAGGCAGGGCCGGGGCGGGGGCTCCCAGGCCTGCTGGCCCCCAGCACGTCTTCACCCTCTGGGCTCGCTCTTTCATGGTCTCTCTGCCGCTCAGGCCTCTGGGGCGCCCTTACAGGCTCAGTCTCTCACCCAGGGGTGCCCCTCTGCGCCACAAGGCAGGTGCCCCGCCCGCGCTCCATAAAAGCCTGAGCGTCTTCATTTACCTTCCAGGTCCACCACTCCCTGAACCCAGACTTCCCTGCCTGCTCTAAAGGGGCCAGAGAGGCCAGGGAAGCTGGCCAGATGCTGCCCCCAGGACCCTGTGGCTAGGAGGCAAAGGACGCAGGTCCCAGCCCCTCTGCTCAGAGCCCCTGGGCGGAACACATCTACCCGCGCGCCCCCAAGCAGTCTCCAGTGCCTGCTGGCTCTGCTGGGCGCTGAGCGCGAGGCGGGTGGGCACCCTGCCCGGGCCTGTGGCTCCCAGCTCCGAGTGCTGGGCACTGAGGGCTCTCCGGAGGTCAGGCGCTCCCGCACTGTCCTGGAGGGGCAGGAACACGGAAGCAGCCCTGGCCTGGTTGCCGATGATGTGCAGCAGAACGCACTGGCCTTCGCCCTGGTCACTGCCGGGTGCTGGGCGCAGAGGGGCCTGCAGTGGGCAGACGTGGACGGTCTTGCTGCTCATCGGAGGGCCGGCCAGGTAGCAGCCTGTCCAGCAAGGACGCCCCTCAGCCACTGCGAGCCCAGGGCCCCTGGAGCCAAGCCCGGCCCTGGGGCATGGCCAGGGGGCCTGCCAGGGGGCCACTAGGTGTCAGGGGGCCTGTGGAGGGCAGCCCCATGGAGCTGGTCAGGGGGCTGCCCTGGGGCATGGCCAGGGGTGTCAGAGAGCATCTCATGTCAGAATTCACACGGGAAGCTGGGAGGTTGATCCTGGAGACGGAAACTGGGGAGCAGATGCCTTCGTTTGGGTTCCCCCCAGAGCTCACCCACCATAAGACCCTGAGCATCCAGGGTTCGTTTGCACACTGACGACAGGAAGGAGAGTGAGGGAGAGGGCGGGCGAGACCGGACTCGGGAGAGCCGGCTGGGGGGCCCCGGGACGCCCCGTCCCGCTGAGGCCCCGGGGCCACAGGGCTCCCTGGGCAACTTGACACAGGGGCAGAGCAGAACACACCCTGGGGCAGAAGGACCAAGACACCTTCAGCGCACCCACGGGCTGCCCCCAGGCGGCGGGGGGCCGCAGCCGCAGAAGCCCTGCGTGCAGCGAAGCGGGGGATCCCCGCGTGGTCAGCGGGGATGGAATGCCAGCAAAGGTGCCACGTATGCCGGCCGTTGCCTCCCTCTGGCAGCCCTGCGCTGTATTTGCCACGCTGTTTGTGTTCTAGCTACTGGTACGTAAAGAAACATTGACAGTTCACTGGGAGCGTGAACGTCACCGTCCACCGTCTCTCCGCACTTGGTACCAGATCAGAGCGTGCACTTGGCCAGGGGCCATCATGACCACCCCATTGTTGGGGCTCCTGAGCGGAGGCTACTCCCCCCGGCACACGCACGTACTCGCTCGGTCCTCAGCCCAGCGAAGGTGGGTGGGCGGCCTCTCGCAGCCTGGCCCTCAGCCCCGGCAGCGCTCCGGGGCCTCGGTTGACAGGGTGATGCGGGGAGCCACTAGGACGTCTCGCCCCCTGCGCCCCCAGGCCAGCGCCTGCTCTGGGGGCCTGGCCCCCGCCTCAGCAGCCAGGGCCCCGCGGGGCCCAGAGGGAGCCCCCTCGCCTGGCCTTCCCCTGGAGGCTCGCTCAGCTCCCCCGCGTCAGGCCACAGGGACCTGAGCTCCGGGCCTCGGGAACATGGCGTGTGACGCCAGGAGGGGACACCCAGGGCAGCGATGAAAGCATGGAGAACGTCGAGACAGAAGCAGAGCTCTGGGCTGGGCTGTGGGGCGTGGGAGCAGCCCCCCAGCGTCTGCAGGGAGCCCTTGATTTCCTACGCTCTGGACCTTGCTCGTTTGAACACTTAATGGCCAGTGAAATCAATACAGACGTTTAAAATGGAGCTAATGAAGTGCAGCCTGAGAAAGCCTCTCGTCTCCTCCCCAGGGAAGTTCCTGGGAGACCAGCGGTTCAGCTATGGGCAGCCCCTCACCCTGACCTTCTGGGTCCCCCCGGAGGGCTCCCCACCCCCCGTGCAGCTGAGGCTGGAAGGGGCAGGCCTGGCCCTGAATCTGCGCCACTCCGGCGAGTCCGGGCCCCCGGCGGCGGGCCAGCCGGGCGAGGTGCAGCTGCAGTTCCGGTACGCGCCCCGGAGGGGGGCGGGCGGCCCTGTGGCGGGAGACCCCACTGGGCGCCCCTGCAGGCTGCTCTGCGCCTCCAGCCTCTGCCTGCTGACCCCTCCCCCTGCCAGGTTGCAAGAGACCTCCGAGGACCAGGACGTGCACGCTCCGCTGCCGGCCTTCCACTTCCAGCGGCTGCTCGCCAACCTCACCGCCCTGCGCGTCCTCGCCCGAGGCCAGAGCCCAAGCCCTTCCGGTCAGTACCAACAAGGACCCCTCCCCAAGAGCCAGCGGCACCTGGCGCAGGTCAAGTCCTCTCAGCAGGGAGGCCATTTTTCCCATTTCAGCTCCGGCCAGGTGGGGACACTTGCCTGGGGCCGTGGAACGGAGGAAGGGCAGGGGAGGTGGGTGCTAGGACAGAGGCAGGGGCCGGGCAGGCGAGGGGCCTGAGGTGGGCAGCGCTAAGGGACAGGGGGGTGGCCCTCGCCGGCCCGATGTGCCCGGATCCCCTGCTGGCCAGCGCTGGTATTGCACCTAAGCACTCCTAAGCCTTGGGGTGGGGGAGCCGACTTCATGGGGTACCTCTCCCCTAGTGAGAGGTCACATGGTGCCCTCCCCCATCCCCCCTCTTCCCTAGTGTTCCCTGAGGCTCCCCCACGCCCCACACCCATACTCGCATGTGCCTGACAGGCGTCCTCACTGCGGGCTTAGGACTGGCACTCGGTTTGGGAACCGCCTTGGCCTCGGGGTGCGCAGATAGAATCCGAGACTATTATCCCCCACCTAGGTCGTACCCCCACCTAGACACCGTTTGAAAAGTCAAGCGGGTGTACAGCACCCCGGAGGTACTGTGCAGAGCATATACAAGCAAAGAAAGTGATACTAAAATGGAATTGTATCCACTGCAAACCTCCTTGCAACCCCGGAGGGTGGGTTTAAGAAGAGTTGGGGGTGGGTGTAGGAGGAGGGAACCTTCCCCAGCCACTCACAGGCAGAGTGGGGACATGTGGACAGGGGAGCTGGGGTCCCAGAGGGGAACTGGGGGAGCTGGGGGCGGAGGGGCCCAGGGAGCTGTCTTCCCCAATGCTCCAACTGCCCCTCGGGAGAGCTCCACAGGTCCCAGAGGCTCCTTTCGGGGGGCTGTTCCACCTACATTCTGGCAGCGGTGTCTCCCCCGCCCCCCTTTGGTTCTCCAGCCTTTCAGGTGACTGTTTTCGGGTGTTGCTGTGGGCAGGTTGGTCTGCTCAGGTGCGATTCTGCTCTAGCGGCCAACGCCCCTCCTTGGTGGTTTCACCCCATCGTGAGGCCCCACCCCCCTCCACTGCCATCCATCTTTCAAGGTGCCCCAGTCGGGGCTGGGCGGTGTCACCTCGCTTTCACGTCCCGCACCTCTGTGACTGCCTTGCTGAGGTTCCATCTCCTGCTCTGAAAATTGCCTTCTTTTCCTCCGCTCTTTATGTGACTGCTTTTTAAAAAATGGCAGCAGGCGCCACCCGCCGCAGTCTCCGCGCCTTGTCAGCCCAGGGCTGGGGAGAGCGCTCCGTCTCACTTCTCGCTCCAGGCCAAGCACGGCTGACAGAGGTCCGGCTCACCTCGGCTCAGCGGGGACTCTCGCCCCCCGCCTCCTGGGTGGAGACCTGCTCCTGCCCCGAGGGGTACGAGGGCCAGTTCTGTGAGTCCTGTGCCCCAGGATACAAGAGGGAGACCCCACGGGGGGGCCCCTATGCCAACTGCGTCCCCTGCACCTGTAACCAGCACGGCACCTGTGACCCCGACACAGGTGAGTCCGAAAGCCGCCGGTACACGCAGAACCGTGACACTGGTAGCAGGCAGGTCACAGTGTGCCAGTGTGAGCAGTCGCCGGGGACATGGAGGTGCGCTGGCATTAGGCGTTTTCCACACACATGGACGCTGCGCTCCATCACTGAGTCCCGGCGCACCCCCGGGGGCCCCAGGCCCTCCCTTCTTACCCGTGAGGGGCCGCAGCTGCAGGGAGGCCTCGCGGCCGGGAGGTGGCAGAGCTGCTCCTCCCCAGTCCCGACCGGCTCCCTCCCGCCGCAGAAACCCAGAGCGCGCCTGTCTCTCACCACCAGGGGGCGCGCTGGGTGCCACGCTCCCCGCTGAGCAGCTGTAGGAGGGTGGGTGCTCCCCTGTGGGCGCTGCCGCGGGAGCAGGTGGGCCTCCGCCATTGCTGCTGCAGAGGACAGCAGCCTGGGGACCAGCAGGCTGGGGGTGGGGACACGTGCACCGTCAGGGGCTTGCCCGGCTTGTGCCAGGGCGGGCACACGTCCTGCCAGGGGAGGCCCCAGGGTCCTTCCGGAACTGCTCCCGCCAGCCAGCCCCCAGGCGATGCCCTGTGAGCGGGAACCAGTATCCCGGCCCCTGGCCAGGCCTCCCCTCCTGCTCATTCCGGGCCAACGGCAGGTGCCAGCCCAGCCGGCTCGAAGGTGTGACGGTGGGTGTGGCTCCGTCAGGGCCTGCAGGAAAACAGGACAGGGCAGTTAGCTCCTCGCGCCCTCGCACCTCCTCTGTCCTGGACTCCCTCCTCACCCCAAAGTGCATTGAACAAGCCAGCTTCTCACACAAACCCTGGCGGGGGCCTCCAGGCACCAGTGGCCTGGAAAGGGGGGTTGCAAAATGCCCCATCTCTAGAAACCGTTCCCTGACCCCAGGCAGCCTCTGGCGACCCACGGCCCTGTGAGCGGGAATGAGCATTTGCTACGCTGCAGCGGCCATGGTGGGTCCGTGGCACCAGAAGGGCCTGGCTAGAGCGTGCTGCGGCTGAGGACACAGGATGCAGGGTGTGGGGCGGCCGGCCGGCTCACAGGGGCTGCAGGTGGTGGCCGAGGCCCAGGCAGGCTCCCCAGCCGCGGGGTGCGGCCTCCACCTCCCCAGGGCAGCCTCCCAGCCCTGCTGGCCCGGCCTGCCCCAGCCTCCTCATGGGGTGGGGTCTGCGGTGCTCGGAGGCGGTCACCACCTCTGACTTGCTCCCCAGGGACCTGCCTGTGCGGCCACCACACCGAGGGCCCCTCCTGTGAGCGCTGCTCGCCGGGTTTCTACGGCAACGCCTTCGTGGGCCACGCCGACGACTGCCGGCCCTGCCCGTGCCCTGGCCAGTCGGCCTGCGTGGTGATGCCCGACAGCAGCGAGGTGGTGTGCACCCACTGCCCGCTGGGCCAGAGAGGTGAGCAGCCCGCGCCGGGAGTCATGGGCTCAGAGCCGGTGGGTCGAGGGGGCCTAGCTTAGGAGGCAGCCTGACGCCTCGGGACCTGGTCCCCTGGCCCCGTAGCCAGGGCCTGGACCACCGTGGGCGCCTGGCAGAACTTGGCCAGTGAGTGTAGCCGGGGGAACTGCAGAAAACCCCCATGTGCTGGCCCTGCCTGCAGCCAGGCTGACGGCCCGCGGCGGCCGGCATCTGTGCCCGGCTGGCTCTGAGGCGGGGCAAGAACCTCTGTGCCGCCCTTCGGAGACGGCGCGGTCCCGCCACACAGGGCACGCGCTCGGCTGCCAGGCAGAGGGCCGGCTGCCGCCTGCAGCCACGTGGAGGGAACGCCAGGGGTCTGTGACGCGTAGTGAGCCGGAAAGACAGAGGCAGACAGTGGGGTGTGGCACGTAGTGGAGGACGAGAGGAAACAGCGGACGGGCTGAGAGAGCCAAGGCTGACCTGCCAGGCGCGTGGCCATTGTGGTCTCGGTGCCCCTTGAGCCAGAGTGTGCCCCAGCCCAGGACCCTCCGAAGACCTCCGCACCTGCCGTCTTTTCTGAGTCTCGCGGTGACCCTGGGGGCTGGCAAGGCGCGGGCAGCCCCAGCCCAGCCCTGGGACGCAGGGCAAGAGCCAGGGGACAGCTGGACAGGAGAAGCAGCCGAAGCCCAGGGGTCGGGTGCTGCGGGCGCAAGGGCGCAGCGGGGCGGGAGGGGGGCGAGGGGGGCGGAGGATGGCCACGCTGACGCCGAAGGTGACTGGGACGGCGGTGATGGACGAGGGGGTGGTGGGGACCAGGGCGAAGGCGAGACCCTGGGGACGACGTGATGCAGAGAGCGAGGGGCATGGTGCGGGCACCAAGACGGTGGTCACCACGAGTGGCGGCGACGGGAAGCCCGAGGTGCTGAGCACAAGGTGGCGGGGCCAGGTGGTGACGAGGCCCATGGCGGATGATGCCAGGGCAGCGTCAGGTGACGGGCGGAGAACGGCGATGCCGTCGCCGTGGGGGTGTCGAGCGGGCGCAGGGGTGCGCGTCCGGCTGTCACGGGCGCCCCACGTGCCACGTGCCGCGCTCAGTGCCCAGCGGGGCAGGGGCCCGCGTCAGACCGCACGGCCGGCTGGTGCCCAGCGGGGCCGTGGCCGCCAGCGGGCCGGGGCGTGGTCAGCTCCACGGGGAGGGCCTCAGCTGTGCGGCACGTCCAGCTCCCCATGCCGCTCCTCTCACGGCCTCTCCTTGCCCCAGGGCAGCGCTGTGAGGTCTGTGATGACGGCTTTTTTGGGGACCCCCTGGGGCTCTCGGGGCCCCCTCGGCCCTGCCAGAGGTGCCAGTGCAGTGGGAATGTGGACCCCAACGCCGTGGGCAACTGTGACTCGCTGTCTGGCCGCTGCCTGCGCTGCCTGCACCACACGACCGGCGACAGCTGTGACCGCTGCCGGGAAGGCTTCTTCGGGGACGCGCTGGCCCCGCGGCCCGCCCACAAGTGCACGCGTGAGTCCCGCGGCCCCGGCCGCGCCCCAGACCCACGCCCTCTGGGGAGCGCGCGGCCTCGGCAGGCTCCCTGCCTCCTCGGTTTCTTTGTCCAAAAGCATAAAGGTTTTCTCCTCTCCCGGGTCTCCCGCAGGTAGGGACTTGCCAGCCCCCTGGTCCCTTTTCTGCCTCGACGACTTAGTTCTTCCCTCGTGCTCTGCAGAGGGCGCCCACGACTGTCCCAGACACCCCGTGGCCCTCGTGGCCCCAGCCCCGGGCTGCCAGCCAGGCGTCCCTCAGCCGTCCGCCGGCTGGGTCAGCACGCAGACCCCGCCCCCGCTCAGCGCTGCCTCCGATCAGCCTTGGGACGCTCCAGGCGTCTTGCAGGGAAGAACAGTAGCGTTTGCTCCCGAGAGCTTTCTCCACGGAGCCCGGGTCAGCACAGTGCTGCCTCTGGTTCATGGAGCCCGTGACCCCGGACGGCCTGCGCCCTTCCCGACAGCCTCTGGGGGCTCAGAGCAGGCCCAGAAGGCCCATCTGTCCTGGGCTGTCTCTCCTAGAACCTAGAAGCGGGCTAAGGCCTGAGTTGGACCCTTGAGCCTTTTCCCGGAAACAGTGTAGGCGTCCAGGCTGAACGTGAGGCCGCTCCCTGGGCTCCTCATCATCTCTGCCTCTTCTGGACCCCCAAAAGTTGAACATTTGATCTGTGTGGTTCGCCAGACCCTTTCCTGCTCTCACCCTCAGCCTGTAGCTGCAACCCAGAGGGCTCGATCGGGGAGCAGAGGCCCTGCGACCCAAGGACCGGCCAGTGCCCCTGCCTGCCTCATGTGACCGGACGGGACTGTGGCCGCTGCAGCCCCGGCTTCTACGGCCTCCGGCCTGGGAGGGGCTGCCTGAGGTAGGCGGGGCGAGGCCTGTCTGTGGAGGCCTGTCCCCGGGTGTCTCACCACGGTAGAGGGCCCCGGGAGCCCCCCGAGAGCAGCCTGGCTTGGAAAGTGCATCCTGGCCCCCTGCCAGGGACCCTGCCCTTCAACAGGGAGGCAAAGGAGAGTCCCTTGGGGGTCAGCCCCAGGGCCCTGCCAGCCCAGGGTGCAGGCCCAGAGAGCCCCGAGGGCCGGCCAGGTGGCCAGGTCCGTCTGGTTCCCTTCTGGGTGACATCGTCACTGGTGACCTCTGGGCCGCAGCCGCACGTGGTGTCGTGGGCCAGCGGGCCAGCAGGGAGATGCCCGGTGAAACAGACACGTCTCCCCACCAGCACGGCGGGGCCTTTCCTAGGCCAGCCGCCAGGTGGCTTTCCGGTGGAGGGTCAAGGTCCCCGCGGCTCCCCGGCAGGCACTTTGGGGGTCTGCCTCCCAGAACCCCGGCACAGGGCAGGGAACTTCCAGGCAGGCACAGGGTGGGGAGATGGGCCCGCACGTGGCACCCACAGCCACTAGGCCGGGCGGGCCCAGAGCTAAGGCCGAGCTCTGTCCACATTGCAGCTGCCAGTGCCATCCGCTGGGCTCCCAGGAGGACCAGTGCCACCCCAACACCGGGCAGTGTCCCTGCCGCCCAGGCGTCGGGGGCCAGGCCTGTGACAGATGCCAGCTGGGCTTCTTCGGCTTCTCCATCAAGGGCTGCCGGGGTGAGCAGAGGCTCCTTCCCGAGCTGCCTGAGGGCCTGGGGTTTCTGGGCAAAGAGGGAGGGTGGCTGTGCCACGCGAGGGCGGCACGTCTGGAGATGCCGTGGAGATGTGGGGCGGGGCGGGGTGGCGGCCGGGGGGGCCTGGGCCAGAGTCCAGCCCCGGGGGCCTCCCGGCTCCTCTCTGGGCCTCGGTTTCCATACAGCTGCCTTGTCAGCTGGTCCTCGGGGCTCACAGGCAGCGCTCTGTCATTTCCCATCTGCCCCCATCTTAACAAAACTCCTGGGCCCAGGAGTGTCCTCAAGGCTTCCCAGCGAGGTCTGCAGCAGCCCAGGGCGAGGGCGGGCGTGGGGGGCTGCGGGCACCCCGTGAGTTGCCCTGGCTGCAGCCTGCAGGTGCTCGCCGCTGGGTGCCGCCTCGGCCCAGTGCCACGAGAACAGCACGTGCGTGTGCCGGCCCGGCTTCATGGGCTACAAGTGCGACCGCTGCCAGGACAACTTCTTCCTCACGGCGGGCGGCACGCGCTGCCAGGAGTGCCCGGCCTGCTACTCCCTGGTGAAGGAGGAGGTGCGCCCGGCCCGCCCGGCCGCCCGGCCGCCCACCTTCCGCTGCATCCCACGTCCCCGTGAGCGCCCGCTCTGTGCCGGCCGTCGGCGACGCCCCTCTCCCCCGGCTCTCGGGCCTCCGGGCCCACCGGCCACTGCCTGTGCCCCCGGCCTCCTGGCTCACGCCAACCTGACTCACCCCTCCCGCCCTCCCCGGCTCCTGTGTGGACAGGAGAAAAGTGGCTCTCACCACGTGTCCTTCCTGACCCCCCAGCCGAGGTCTGGCGCTTACTCAGTTCAGTGGGAGTAAGGTCACAGGTGGGGTCTCACCTGCCGGGAAGGTCAGACGGGGGGCACTGGGCAGGCATGGGATCGGGCAGGGATCAGCGGTGTGAGGTCTGGGTCTTTCCCGCCCCAGCCCCATTCGTTGTCACGAGCCTGGGTAGGTGACAGCCTTGGTGACTTCAGCAGCTGTTCCCGACTCCACAGTGAAGGTTGTTCAGGCTTCACCTCTTGCCTGAAACCAGCAAGGCCGCCTTGCTGGTAACGTAGAGGGGAGGTGGTTCGACCCGATATTGGGGGCCAGCCCAATAGTGCCTGAGCTGCCAGGGCAGACCCACCGCTGTGTCTGCAGGAAGATCAGTGAATATTCGCACCCAGAGGGTTACTAGAGGCCAAGGCAGCCTTGTTCAGAATAGTTTTGCAAATGAGTTCAGGGTATTTTTATTTTTTCAAGATTTCTTTATTTATGCACACAGAACTGGGGTACAAGCCTGAGGTGCAGGGGCGGTGAGAGGTTTCACCAGAGACAGAGCGGGGAGCAGAACAGGCAGATCGATGAAGTACACTGCTGAGGGGAGCAGCGGGAGGGTCAGGAGAGGTCTGTGGTCACCTCCGGGGCCAGGGATCGAACTCATGCTGAAGTGGCTGTGGCTAGCTTGCAGTGCTGTGCCCTTCCCCATTTAGCCACCAGGGAGGGCCAACTTCTTTATTTTTTAAAAGATGTATTTATGCCAGGTGTGTGAAGAGTGAGGGGATTCACCAGAGACAGAGTAGGGAGCAGAACAGGCAGATCGATGAAGTACGCTGCTGAGGGGAGCAGCGGGCGGGTCAGGAGAGGTCTGCCGCGCCCTGTGGGTCACTTTGGGGCCAGGGGTCGAACTTGCACTGAGGGGCTGCGGCCGGCTTGCGGTGCTGCCTCCTGACCCGCTGCGCCACCACAGAGGGCTAAGTTAAGGGTTTTTTTAAAAAACAGATTTTACCATCAAATAAGGAACAGAAGGCCACGTGGATTTTCAGAGCATTTCAAACTTTGGAATCAAGGAGGACACCTATAGCCCCTTCCTTCCCCAGATACGAGGTGGACCTGAGCTGGCTGGCAGTCTCCTGGCACCGGGCCCTGGCCAGGGAGCTACTGCTGATGTGGCTAAAAGATCAGTGTTGGAGACACTGTGTCGCCCTTCTGCTCTGTGCCACAGCCCGGGAATAAAGCCAACGGCCAGAAAGAACCCTCCTGAGCTTCTCCTCCACCCCACGCCCTACCCCGCGCCCACTCCCTGCCCTCAACAGGACAGGGTGTGGCCGCTGACGGCCACCCAAAGCATAGGAAGGGGGCAGCTGCATCTGAGGTGGCCACACGAGCGAGGCCCGTCCACAGAGGGCTGGCATGTCCTGAGCTTTGAGGTTCAGTGTAGAACTTGGAATCGGGGCCCTAGGGCGGGCCAGGAAGACTGTCGGCCTCACACACCCTTCTTTTCCATCCCACCCAGACTGCCAAGCTGAAGGCTAGGCTGGTCCTGATGGAGGGGTGGCTGGAGGGATCTGACTGCGGCAGGCCCTGGGGACCTCTGGACATCCTGCAGGGAGAGGCCCCCCGGGGAGACGTGTACCAAGACCACCACCTGCTGCAAGGTAGAGTGGGAGAGGAGAGCAGAAAGCGGGAGGCGAGGGGAGGGCTGGACAGACACCTAAATGTGGTCACAGGATAATTTGAGGACTCAGGGCTCAGTGGCCCTAGGAGAGCCTGGCTAGGTGGGCTCCTCCCCTGGCGGGGGCCTCTCCCTCCACCGGCCTCTCCTTTAGTAGCCTTTGGCCAGCTGTGCTTGGGACCTCTGTCAGCACTGCGCTCTGACTATAGCACCTGGCCCGTGGCCCCGCCCACCCAGGCTGCAAGCTCAGTTCTGCCCCGACCATAAGATCAGGGAGGACTGGGTGGCGCTGTCCCAGGTGCTGAACAGGTAAAGCCCCGCTGGCTTGATGGCAAGCCACTTTGCTCTGTCCGCCTCGTCTCTGGCATAGACAATGAGCTGATGATAATAATAATGATGAGACTGTGTTACTAGAGCCGGGGGAATTTGGCCTGGCATACTGGAATTTAAGGGTCACCGGATGGAGATTGTTTCGTGATAGTTCACGTTCACAAGCGCCCGCATTGCTTCAGCAGCCAGACATTCCTTTGGCAGTGAGCCAGGCACTGGCCTGCAAGGCTCATCCTCTAAACCCGGAGCTGCCCAGTGACGGTGCTGAGCATGCTGACAGCCCCAGCTGACTGGTGCCGGGCACCACCACTACACTGGGTCAGGCATTGGTGGTTGAGACCGGGAGGCCTGGGCTCCTTCCGGTCCCGCATCTGTGGCTGACTCCCTGTGGGGGGTCTTAGGGTCAGAGTGGTCTTCTCTTGGCCTCAGCTTCTGTAAAATGGGGATTCTTCCTGTGTGACCGACAGGTGGCACTCGGGGCTATGAGTTATGCTAAGCCAGGAATAGTGGGGTACACCGATGGAGGCCCCTGTCGGGGGTCCCCTGAACTGTGGATTTCTGCAGGGACCTGGGAAGCCTATCTGGAGCAGATGACAGGCCTGGAAAAAGCTGTGAAGTCTGCCCAGGAGCAGCTGCGGGGTCTGCGGAGGCATGCCCCCTGTGGCCACGCTGGCACCAAAGCCTGCCTCCAGCTCGCTGACCTAGGGGCGCTGCTGGCGTCCTCTGAGGAGGAGATCCTGCATGCCGCCACTGTGCTCAAGTCTCTGGTACCCTAGGGGACCCCTGCCCCATCTTGAGCCTGGACTCTGCTGTTTACCTGGGCCTGCCTCCCGCTTTGGGGGAGGCCGTTTCCTGGTCTGCAGAGCTGGGAGCCACGCGGTGCCCCTCTGCCGACTCGGTGAGACGAGCACACAGAGGCGGAAGCCTTGGGCAGACCCGAGTGCCCGGCCAGGGCGGGTGGCCTTGCTGTCCACTCTGAGGGCCGGGACGCCGCTCGCCAGATGCTGGCGCTGGCGCTGGCTCTCAGCTCTGTAACATCGCTGGCACTCTCCAAGTTTCACCCGTAATTTAGAGACGTGACTGTTGCCCTCCGGGACGGCCCGTCAGTTTCCCCCTTTTTTCTCGAAAGGTGATGGCCCAGGAAGGGCCTGGCCAGCCCACCAACTGGAGCCATCTGGCCACAGAGGCCCGCACCTTGGCCAGGAGGTGAGCCCCAAGCCCGGGGGGGTGAGGGCATCCCTGCACAACTAGGAAGGAACCCCGGCTCTTCTCCAGGGGCTTCCGCGGTCAGGGCCAGGCCACAGGTACCCCCACTCAGAGTGAGAGTCAGGTGAGCCAGAGCTGCTTGGCGAGGGGGGGTGAAAGGAGACAGCGTGGCCGGAGATGAGGGCCAGGAGTTTGGGGAGAGGGTGAATTCAAAGCGTGGTTGGCTGAAGGCCTATAAGCCACCGCTGACGTAAATGGTCCTCTCCAGACCATTCCTGCATTTGGGTGTATAATTCAGTGACTTTCAGTATATCCAGAGTGGAACCATCCTCCCACCCACTAGGACATTTTCATCACCCCCCAAGCCAGCCCCACGCCTGTGCTTTCCGCTCCCCACGTCTCCTCGACCTCTCCACCCCCGGCCCCTCATCTGCTTTCTGCCTCCGTCCTCTGGGCGTTCCACAGAAGCAGCCTGTCCACGTGTGGCCTCCTGGTCCGGCTTATTTCACGTAGCGTCACATCTGTAAGGACCACCCACGTGGCAGCGTGTACAGAACTTCGTTCCTGTGACAACCCAGTAACATTTACCCAGTTGACAGACACCTGGGCTGGCCCACCCATTGCCTTCAGGAAGCAGCTTAAGATCCTAAAAACATAGGAACAGCAGCTGGCTCCCACCTCACTGTCCTTGAGGTCCATTAGACCCATTTTACAGATGAGAAAGTGGACTCTGAGTCGTTGTTTTGCTGAAGGACACAGCTGCACGTGACGGCGCCACCTCCCCCACCCTGTCCGTCCTGACCGCCGCGCCCGGCCTTACCAGGGTCACCTAGGGCGTACAGTTGAGCTGAGACTTGATGTGTGTGGCAAGGCCTGGTGACTGCTGTGCTGGGACAAGTGGGACCAAGTGCGAGGGTCCCCACCCATCAGTCTCCTGTGCCCGAGGGAGCAGAGCGCCAGGCCTCTGGGCTGTCGGTCCCGAGACAGTGACCCGTGCGGCAGGCTGTGGGTCCGCTGCTGTGGAGCCCCGGTGACGGTCGCTGGGTACTTTCTTGCAGCCACGAGGACACCGCCGCCAGGGTCCAGGCCACGGCCCGGAGGGCCCTGCTCGCCTCCAACGCCAGCTTCGAGCTCCTCTGGAATGTGCTGCAGGGCAGAGCGGCGCTGCAGGCCCAGGGGGAGCTGGAGGACAGGTGAGCCGCCAGGTGTGGGCAGAGCGCGGCTTGGCCTCCAGGGGTCCGCAGGCCTGGCCAGAGGTTGCTGTTCCAGAAGCAGCTTCCTCCTCGCCAGTTCTGATGGTCGTTAGGGTGGATCAGTGTGTCTGAGCTCTTGTGCCCACCCAGGGGCAAGAACAGGAACCCACAAGGTGAACAGGGGCCCCAGCGTCACCCCTCAGCCCCACCCCAGGTCCTGGGCAGCCCCGTAGGCTCCCTCTGCCCTGTTGGCCTGTTTCTCTGCTGTGGGCAGCACCCTCTGTCCTATCTGCAGAGACCCAAGGCCTCCCGGGCCCCCGGCTGACTTCCTAGATGGGAGACGCAGCTGGGTCCAGTTGGGTCACATGGCCACACTTGAGCCACTTGGCAGGGCTGGGGTGTGGTCCCCTGGCCTGCCAGGGGCCAGGGGCTGGCTCTTTGAGGGAGTGGGGGAGGGAGGGAGCCACCCGGAGTGTGCCCCCCAGCAGCGCCCATGGTAGCAGGCCGTGGACAGCTGGGCAGGACGGGACAGGGAGCTGCTCTGTTTGGATGGCCACAGCACCTGCCCAGGGTCACCCCGGGGCGTGACTGAGCCCAGACCCAGGCCGGGGCTGCCGGACGTGCCCCGACACCAGACACGTTCCTCTTCACGATCCATCCAGAACAGCCAAACATCTGCAAAGCATGCGATTCTCAGGAGGAACCCACGCGCCAGCCCCTTGAGAGAGCGGGATTGAGTCGAGTGGCTGGACAAGAATGCAGGCCCTTTACTGCCTTCTCCACTCATCTGGGCGCTGCGGAGCAGCAGCCAGCTCCCGAGGCCAGCTGCCGGGCGTGTGCCCTGGACGGTGCGGCCCAGAGGAGAGAGAGGCCTGCACCCACCAGGGCCCTGGCGGAGACCCGGGGACTGGACAGCCCTGTGCTCTGCTCCAGGCCTCACCTGCCTGCCTCTCCTCAGGTACCAGGAGGTTCAGGCGGCCCAGAAGACGCTGGACACAGCCGTGGCAGAGGCGCTGACCACAGCTGAAAGAGCACTGGCCACCGCGCAGCGCACGGGCACAGACGCGACCCTGCACCTGGCCCTGCTCGCCACCCCTGCAGCACCGGTCAGCTGGGCCCACCACAGCTCCGAGTGGGTGGGCGGGGCCGGGGGCAGTGGGACACCAGCCCAGGCTGTCGTGCTTGTTTTTAACTCTCTGGCGGTTAAATGAGACAGTCCACTTGCAGAGCACGACGAGCGCCTGCCCGGCACGGATCAGGGCTCGGCCGCGCTGGGTGGTCACTAAGGTGGCGGCCACGCCCCCGCCCCAACACAGGGCGGTGGCACTGGCGGCAGGCGGCCCCGGGACCAGACCCCGCTCCGCGGCTCCAGCTGGGAACTTGGCCAGGGACTGCCCGCCCGCCCCTCAGGCCCTCCTGCCAATGGCTTTTGGGCCATTTTAGGGCTACACCGCGGGGGAGCCAGCTGGTTCATGAGCCAGATGGCCTCAAGTTTGCCCCCTCTACTCACCACCCCTGGGTCCGTCAGCTCCAGCCTCTCCGTGACCCCAAAACCTCAAAACTCAGCAGTGAGCTTGAAACCAAAAGACTAAGCTCCGGGTCAGCAGCTGACCAGACCCACTGACCCCAGCTGTTCATGTGAGGGCTCTGTCTCACCCCATGTGTGAGACAGGGCAGGTTTGACCCTGCCCTGGATATGTTGAGGGTGCTAGGGAAGGCACAGTCCAGAACATTCCGGATTTGGAGGTACACCAGTCGAGCCCCAAGGTTTCAGCCACAGGGCTGTAGACTAGGAACAGGAAATTCAGGTCAGGGAGGTCAGCTGCTTTGCCCACGTCCACGCATCTGGAAGTGGGAGGACTGGAATCTGGACCTCAGGTGACAGGGTGTAGCTTCCCTGTCACCTGGCCCTCCGCTTCCTGGCCCACACACAGCCTGCCCCCTCCTGCCCCGGCCCCTCTCGCCAAGTAGGGGGTCACCCCCAGCCCTTCCCTGCCTGAGCCCACCCTCTCCCAGCAGCACCAGGAGTCTCGAACCCGGGATCTGGGCCTGAGGGCGCAGGCCCTGGAGAGGACGGTTGCATCGAGGGAGCACACAGTCACCGAGGCTGCCCGGGCCCTTGGGGCCTCCGCCCAGGGCCTGCTGCACAAGACGGAACCACTGGTGCAGGTGGGACCTGACCTTAGAAGTAGGTGGCTGGCGAAGGTCGGCTGTGGGTTGATCTGGCTCGGGGGTGTGAGGAGACCAGAGCAGTTCATTCTGGCCCCAGGCCTGCCTCCGAGCTCTAGAGCCAGAGGCCCCGTCCTTTCCCCGGGTGTGTGTGCTCCAGCTCCCCACCGAGCTTTGGGGCAGCTTCCTGGGAGAGTCTCAGGATACTAAGAGATGCCACCTTCCTGGAGGCGAGCGTCATCGATTGTCAGAATTTGGCAAAGTGTTAGAACCTCCGAGGCTGTGGTTTAGCGTCCCCTGGCCAGCTCCTGGGCACCTCACCGAGGTGTCTCCTTCCCCTCCAGCTGCAGCAGGAGGCCAGAGCCGCCCTGACCCGGGCTTCCTCGTCTGTCCAGGCTGCCATGGTCACCGTCACCGGAGCCAGAACCCTGCTGGCAGACCTGGAAGGTAATGGCCGGGCAAGGTGTCGCCCTCCCTCCCTCGCCACCCACCACGAGGTCACACACAGGCCTTAAGCATCTCGAACCTCCCCTGGCATCCTTCGCAGCCCCAGCGTGGCCAGGCCCGAGGCAGTGACTGGCTGGCAGGCTCCCCAGGCATGCGTCGGCCCTCCTGACAGCTCTGTCCGATGTGCAGGCCTGAAGCTGCAGTTTCCTAGGCCCAAGGACCAGGCTGTGCTGAGCAGGAAGGCAGGCACTGTCCGGGACCGGCTCCTGGCAGACGCGGAGAAGAAGACCAAGCAGGCAGAGAGGATGCTGGGAAACGCAGCCTCTGTCTCCTCCAGTGCCGAGAAGAAAGGCAGGGAGGCCGAGCTGTTGGCCAAGGGCAGCGCCAAGGTCAGCACCGCAGAGAAGGTGGCAGCGGCAGCCCTGCCCGGGGCCTTCTGTCGCAAGCCGTCACCCCTGCAGCTCCGCTGCCCCCCATCATGGTGCCGACACCTGCTTGCTCGCTGAGGTCTCGGGGGGCCCAGGCTCTGCAGCCAGAGCTCTGCACGGGTGACCCGCTGCATTCTTTTTTTTTTTTTTAAAGATTTAGTTATTTATGCACACGAGAACTGGGGTACAGGCCAGAGGCGTGGGGTAAGAGGATCCACCAGAGTGGGGAGCAGAACAGGCAGGTCCAACAGAAACACACTGCTGAGGGTGGGGGGAGGGATCTGCTGCACGCTGGGGGTCCCGGATCGAACTCAAGCCGCAGTGGCTGTGGACAGCCTCATAGTGCTGAGATTTAACCCCTTGTGCCACCAGGGAGGCCCCGGCCCTGCTGAATTCTCAAGACGTAGGCGTCACTGCTGTCCTGTGGGGCCGGCGACACCCCAAGGCCCTGTGACTTAACGGGTGCAACCAGGACTCACACCTGTCTGTTGGCCTTTGCCTGCTCAGCTTCTAGGCTTAGCGGGGCTCCCAGCTCCCGCTGGCTCTGTTGGCCCCCAGTGAGCCACCCCTGTGACTGACGGGAGAGGCAGGCGTCCCCGGGCTTGCTTTCCGCTGTGCCCGTGGGTTTCGGTAACCGCTCCTCTCCGTGGCTCTGCTTCCCACCCGGAAAACAGCTCGCCCCTCTGGGAGAGAGGCGTCCCGCCGTCCCGCTGCCAGGCGTCTGGCAGCATCCACGCATGTTCGGTGAATGAATGAGCGGGTGAAGGAGACCTGGCTGGTGAGGAAGCGGTGGCCACGTGGCGCCAGCGCCCTGAGGATGCTTCACCTCCGCTTACACTCTGCCCCTGCCCGCCCCGCCCCACAGCTTGCCAAGGCCCAGCTGAGGAGGGCCAAGCTGGAGCACCGCCGCGCCAGCCGGCTCTCGGCCCAGACACAGGCCACCCTCCGCCAGGCCTCCCGGCAGGAGCTCACCTTGGAAGCCCATAGGCGGGGCCTGCAGGAAGCCGAGCAGGTACCGTGCCCAGGCCCTACCCCATGTCCTCCCGGTGCCCAGAGACACAGCGCTCTAGCTTCTCCCGCTCCCCCACCCTCCCAGGCGGGTGCCAGGTTGAGAGAGACGGAGCGGCAGATCCGGGAGTCCCGAGTCTCCCTGGAGCAGGACATCAAGGCCTTGTCGGAGCTGCTGGCCAAGCTGGGTAAGGGGGTGCTGCCCCGGTGCCCTGGTGCCTGGGGCGCCCCCGGTTCCTCTGCTGAGCCCCAGTCCCGGGGGAGGCTCCCTCATGCCCTCATCTCTCTGCCCTCTTGGTGGGCAGTCACAGGCATATGTAGCTGCCCCGGGCCCCACCCCTGCATCTCAAACTTGGGGAGGCTCAGAGAGCCCTGAGCCCTGAGAAACAGCGAATCCACGCCAGGTCAGGACTAAGGGCTTGCCCGTCACCTCCCCAGCCCTCGTTCTGAGCCCTGAGAGGCTTCTTTCACCCCGGGGCCTCCCACATCCGAGACTCAGGTGCTATGTGTGAATGTGCTCCCGGAAGCCCAGGCAGTATGCGGGGGCCAGCAGCAGTGTCGGGGAGCACCTGCACTGCACGCACAAGGCTTTGTCAAAGAGGAAGGGGTGCCCCCAGGTCCCTCCTTGTCTTTTTAAAGGCATTTATGCATGCACACAGATCTGGGGCACAGGCCAGAGTTTCAGGGGTGGTGAGAGGCTTCACCAGAGACAGAGCGGGGAGCAGAACAGGCAGATGGAAGAAGTCCACTGCTGAGGGGAGCAGCAGGCGGATCAAGAGAGGGCTGCGGCGCCCTGTGGTCACCTCCGGGCCGGGGATCGAACTCTCCTGAGGCGGCTGCGGCCAGCATGCGGTGCCGTGTCCTGACCCGCTGCGCCATCAGGAGGGCGACCGTCCTTTTAGACACTAGTCACATCCCAACAACAGCAGCTCAGTGTCACCTGGGGGGAAGTTCCGCCACCCCCTCTTGGCCGGGTGCCCAGACTAGCGCTCACCCAACTAACCCCCTGCCTCTTGGCCCTTTGCGGCCCACGGCAGGCTGGCGACTGGGTGCTGAGGTTGGAGCTGCGATGTGTCTCTGAGGGCAGGCCCTGCTGGCCCACACAAACTGTCTGTACGCTTCTGCAGGGTCGCTGGACACCCGCCAGGCCCCAATGCAGGCCCTCAATGAGACCCAGCAGGCCCTGGAGCAGCTGCGGCTGCGACTGAGTCCACCCGGGGCCCTGCAGGGGAAACTGAGGCTGCTGGAACAGAGGTCGGAGCAGCAGGAACTCCAGCTGCAGGACTTCGAGAACGACCTCGCCGAGATCCGCGCTGACAAACAGAACTTGGAGGCCATTCTGCATAGCCTGCCCGAGAGCTGTGCCAGCTGGCAGTGACCCCCACTGGGCCCCACCCCACCCAGCCCCCCGCAGGTGCACCCTGATAGTACACACACGCACACGCACACGAGTCCCTCAGCCCACACTCACCGACTGCCCGCCGCCTACCGGGCCAGCTCACATGCCCTGGGCAGTAACACTCCCGTACCTGCTCCTGAAAGCGGCCCCTGGCCAGCTTGGCACCGGGAGTCCGAGAAGGGCCATCTGGAGAGACCTGGGTGGGTCCAGAAGAGCCCCCAGACCCCAGCTTTCTGTTCCAAGGCAGCGCCATGCAGGCCACAGAGCAACGGGCAGCCCAGGGCTCTCACCAAGACCTGACACCCGGGGCCGAGGGGCCACAGGCAGGGCATGCCCTGCCCCCACGGGGTAGCACTGGCTTCCAGGAATACTTCGACCTCAGGCCCTGCGCGGGGCACAGCGGAGCCCCTGTTCTGGCACGGTGCCCTCTGGCCCGGTGCCCTGCCCACAGAGCCGGGCTTCAAGGGCCTCAGGACCCTGGACCGGGGACTCTGATGGGTGCCTGGGGGCACCTGGCTGAACTTTGACCAAACCGGACAGGCCCTGTGACCCGGAGGGAGGCCCAGCTTGAGGCCTGGAGGCCTTTCTGGTCTGTCCTGTCCCGGGAGCCCCCTCTGGCGTCTGCCCAGGATCCTCTGGTATTTCCTCCTGGCACTGCTCCCCTTCCTGGGCCTCTGCCGGCAGAGACGGGCCTTGGCACAGGCCACCAGGGGGTGGGGCACAGCCCCTCATACTGCACTTCCTGGCCCAGCACGGGGCAGCCGGGCACAGACCAGTGTTGGTCACCGTGGAAATAAAGGCTCCGTTACCCCGGGCGATGTGTCGCTGGTCTTCCCGGGGGGGGGGGGGGTTGGCAGTCAGAGCCCCGCTACAGGTGCAGACACTGCTCCTGGGTGCAGACTCAGCCCCGAGATGTGCATGTACCCGCAACGCTGAGCTGGCGGAGAGGCCTGCAGGGACCCACCTGGCCCACGCACCAGGAAGCTGGCAGGAGCTGAACCCCCCCGCTGCGTCCGGCACCTGCCCTCCCCCTCCCCCCCAGGGCCCTTTATCAGGAAAGATCTAGGGCTGAGGCCCCCAGCTGGCGTCAGTGCAGAAAAATGAACTCAAAACTTGCCCAGCAGCACAAGACCCGCGGAAGGACACCAGGAGGGCGTCGGCTGGGTGAGGAGACAAAGGGGACATTCCAGGCAAGGCGGTGGGCAGGGGCCAGGGGTGCGGGTGGGGCCGGGCCAGCACCAGCCACTGGGGAGACCCTGGTGGGTAGCGAGGGTGGGACACAGGAGCACCCATGGGGCTGGTCCATGCAGCGGGGTTCGCTGGGAGGGTCTGCTGGCGGGACCAGGAAGCACTGCCAAGCCTGAGGCTGAGCTCAAGGCCACAGGGGCGCCCCCCCATTGGTGAGCGCCCCTCCTCTCTCCATGTACCTCGGTCTTGCCCAGGAGGCAGCTTCTGCATTTGATGGACAAGGATGCCCGTCACCCTCCCCCAGCCCCCGAGTTTGCTGATCAAGAGGTCAGATGCTTGGCACACTAAACTGCCCTGACTCCAGCTTCCCAGGAGACCCGCCCAGCTTGGGCCAGGCAGGCTCCTCACACACCCTTCTGCTCTGAATAACGAGTCCGCTGCCTGGGGCCATATAACAGGAGGGGGCTGTGACGCTGTGCCTGCGGGGGTGGGGGGCACTCAGGCAGAGCTGCGCTGCCCTGCACAGCCTGCAGACCCAGGCGCAGCGCCGGCCTGGGAGTGTGAGGGAGCCCAGCGCCCAGAGGGGTGGAGAACAGCTGCTGGCCGCTGACCCGGCTGACGTGATGACTCAGCAGGCTGACCATGCCTGGGGTGAGCACAGCCACGCTCTGGTCCCAGAAGTGGGGCTGCGCCCGGTGGAATGCGGCAGCTGTTCAACATCTGGCTAGCAACGCAGCCCCGCCACTGGGCAGTGGGCAGCAGTGGCCTCTACCTTGCAGGACAGCTGCCAGCTGCCTGGCCAGCCAGCCCAGCCCGAGGGCCCTGGGAGCCCTGATTGGGAAGTGCATCCCGAGGGCCCTCGAGTCAGCTCCTGCCTCAGCCCTTCTCCCCTCCAGCGTTTACTATCAGGATCAGATAGGCCCTTGCCCAAGGTCACACAGCTTGAGCAGGCCCAAAGCCCAGGGCCAGGAGAGTAATCTGGAAGCTGCCAGGGGGTTTGCCCTCTGCAGCCTGCAGCAGCCCCCCTGGGGCGGCCCCTTCCGCCCAGTCCCTTCCTTGGGCCCACCTGGTCATTTCCCTTCGGGGGTAACTTGTACCCCATAGACCCCAGGATCCCAAGGGTCAAGCTGCACACAGGTTTGTGGGGTCCTGTCCCCAGACGCACGCTCAGGATTGGTGGGGGTATGACTAGTGACAGTCCCCATTGGTGCCTGTGGCCGCAGCCTGCTTGTCAGGAGGGGCCGCTCGGATCCTCAGACACCCCAGACCTGGACCCAAGACTTCAAGGGCACCAGCCCCGGGTTCCCGCACCCCACCCTTCCCAAGGTAGAGGCTTGGCTTACACCCGGCTGGACTAGAACTCCAGGCGTCAGCTTCCTGACTTAAGAATGCGGGGTTGAGTTATGAGAACTAGATGACATAACAATTGCAACCTGTGCTGCCCTGGCAAAGCGCCTGAGCTCTGGGTGTTCAAGAAATAGGGTTTGTTCGCAGAACAACAATTTCCCTAATTGACTTAGAGCATCACCTCACCGTGACCTAGTGGCAATTTATCATTCATATCCCCCGGAAGAAAAAAAAGCCCAAAAGTTTTCCTGCTTTTCGTTCAAGAGTGTAATAAAGGTTGGGGCGCCCCCTTTTCTAAAAATGCCTGCTGCCAGGGCGACAGTCCTGTCCCGCGGGGCGGTGTAGCCGGGCGCTGGCCCCGCGTTTGATCCTCATAACAGCCGCCGCCCAAGAGGTACTAAGACGCGCTCCCTTCACTTTTGGGGGAACCACCTCTCGCAGCCGGCAAGGGGAGAACCGAGGCTCTGGGAGAGGGTGGGAGGGGGGCTCACGGCGGCCCAGCGGCGCCTTTTCCGCCGCCCAGAGCAGAAGGGCCGCGGGCGGGCCGGTCCCGCATAATAGCCGCTTTGA